GTGCGCATGCGCTCTCTGGTCGCCGGACGGTCACCTTCCCGGCGCGAGGACGAATTGCTCTCCTCCCACCGGCGCGTGCGTAGTGCTGACAGACCGCTGGGTGGGAGGGGCGACGCGTGCGCATGGCACCTTCCCGGACGCTCGGGCTTTTCAGTGCGCCTGTGCGCCGCGCCCGTTGGTGGCGGCGGCGCGTGCGCAGTGGTCTCGCCGGCTGAGCGGAGCGAGCGAGCAGCCGGGGCCGCCCCGCGTGTCCGTCATGTACCAGCGGAGCCGGGCCGTGGCCGGGTTCCTGGGCCCCGCCGCCCGCTGGTGGGGGCCGCGCTGCCGCTGGGGCGGGGCCCGGTGGCGACCGGGCGAGTCCCCGCGCTGCTGCTACCGGGCGCGGCAGCAAGTGAGTGACGGGCGGGGCGGGTCCAGGGACGGGTCGAGGGTCAGGGGGCGGGGCCAAAGACAGAGGGGCGGGGCCAAAGACAGAGGGGCGGGGCTGCCATGCTGGGGTGAGAGGGGGCGCAGGTCAGGGCTGGCTTGTCCTAGGCAGGGGTCCTGGGGCAGGGTCTATGGAGGGTGCATGACTGGAAACTGGTAGTGAAGGGGACTGCAGGATGCGGAAGTTGGGGGCTGGAGGGGTGCAGAGGCTGGGGGGTGCCAAGGCTGGGATCTGGGGGTTTGGAGGGTGCTTGGTCTGAGGGGCTGTAGAGGACTGGGGGGTTGCATGGGCTTGGAGAGGTGCAGGGTGTGCATAGGCTGAGGGATGCAGAGGTTGGGGAGTGCAGGGGACTGCAGAGTGCAGAAACTAGGACCTGGGTGGACGGCAGGGTGTAGAGTAGGGGTCTCAAACGCAAATGACCACGAGGGCCGCATGAGGACTAGTGCATTGGGCCGAGGGCCACATCACTGACACCTGCCCCTGTCCCCGCCCCTACTCCACCCCTTCCATGAGGCCACACCCCTGCCCTGCCTTTTCCCTGCCCCCATTCCAATCCCTTCCCCGAAGTCCTCACCCCAACTCTGCCCCTTCCCTGCCCCCAGGGGGTGCAGGAGGGGTGCGGGGTGTGGCGGGGGCTCAGGGCAGGGAGTTGAGGTGCAGGAGGTGTGCAGCGTACGGCAGGGTGCTCAGGGCAGGGAATTGGGGTGTGGAGTGCAGGAGGGGCGCAGGGTGCGGCAGGGGGCTCAGGGCAGGGAGTGCAGGAGGCTCAGGGCAGGAGTTGGGGTGTGGGGTGCAGCGGGGGTTCAGGACAGGGGGTCAGGGTGCAGGGTGTGGCAGGGGGTTCAGGACAGGGGGTCAGGGTGCAGGGTGTGGCAGGGGGCTCAGGGCAGGGGGTTGGGGTGCATGAGGGGTTCAGGCTCTGGCCCGGCGTCCTTACCTAGAGCAGCGCTGTACACCGTGGCCAGGGCAAGCTCCCTGGCCCCGCTTTGCTCTGGTCTGCTCTGCTCCAGGAAGCAGCTGGAGTCCTGGAGGGGGGATACGGTGCCATGTGCTGCTCTTGCTGCTCCTCCAGGTACCTCCCTCAAAGCTCCCATTGGCCGCGGTTCCCTGATTCAGGGCAATGGGAGCTGTGGGGGGCGGTGCCTGGAAGAGAGAGCACAGAGCCCTCTACCCCTGCCCTGCCTGAGGCTGCAGGGCCATAGTTCCAGCCGCTTCAGGGAGCGGTGCGGGGCTCGTGGCGCCGCGGGGGGGGCATGGGGAGCTTGGTAGGCCGCATGAAAGAACCCTGCAGTCTGCATGTGGCCCACGGGCCGTGTGTTTGAAACTCCTGGTGTAGAGGCTGAGGTCAGGCATTGCATGTGGTGAGGGATGCAGAATGCATGGTTGGGGCCTGGGGGTGCAGAGGACTGCAGACATTGGGGGATGCAGGGCTGGGGCCTGTGGTGGGTGCAGGGGCTGGGACTGTAGGGTGAATGAGGTGGGGCATAAGACTACAGGAGTGGAGGGACAGTGGTGGTGACTTTGAGTGCAGGGTTGAGGGGTAAGGTCTGTGGTTTGGCTAGGAATGTGGGGAGAAGGGCTGTGCAAATCCATGCCTATGTAGATTAGGATCCGCTCTAGAGAGAGCTAAAGGTATAAATCTTTTCACTCTTTCGCCTGGTTATGTGTCAACTCCACCCCAGGATTTTGGGGAGGGTTCATCGGGGTGCACGTGAGATTGGTCTGTAGGGGACTGGCTATCTTAGGGGTGGGGAAATGGGATATGGAGCCTTTCCCCTCTAGGGGGTGCTGGCTCCAATCTGCCCACAGGTCTGGGGGCACTAGGAGATGGGGCCTTTCCCTTGTAAGGACCCCAGCAGAATCTCTGAGTGGTGTCAGTCCCTCTAATTGCTTCTCCCTTCCAGGACCTGGCCTCCTGCTGGGAGAAGGCCCCCCAGGCACTGGGCCCACCCATGGCCCTGAAGTTCCACCTCTCACTGGTAGAGCAGCAGGTGGAAGCTGCCAGGATTTTCCTGTTGCCCCCGCCAGGGGCCAGCCTGGTGGGTGGTACCTTCCCGAATTCATCGGAGCAGAAGCTGAGCCTGCGTGAGCTGCTGCAGGGTCTGGAGCAGGGGTGCCCCCGCCAGCTCGCTGCCCTCTCCCCTCTGGAGGGCATGGAGGCCTCTGTCACCACAGTGGATGGGCAGCGGGAGGATGACATCACCGTGTGTGAGGGCACCAGCCTGGACAGCGCCTCCCTGGACTCTCTGTACAGCCTGTTTTATGGCAAGCCCTGCTGGACGCACTTCCAGGCCACTGCCGGTACAGCCACCAGTGCCACCTCTGGCTCACCCGGGAACCACGACCCCAACATGGAGAAGCACCTGGCTGTCATGTACGAGAAGCTGCAGCATGAGGTATGCCACGGCCCGGGTGCCTGGGTCCCCTGCCTTTCCCTTGGGTGGGCTGTCTGGATTCTCGACCCCTCATTTCCCCCTTCTCCCCTGGCTGTATTCCTGGTTTCTCCGTCCCTCGTTTCCCCATGCCCGCTGCCCGGATTCTCTTCCCTGCCTGGATCCCATCTCTGCTGAACACTTTTCCTGCTAGCGGCTGCCAGCCCCAGGCCTATAGGGCGGCTCTTATCTCTGTTCCTCCTTACACAGCCGAGCCTTCCTGCCCTCTGGGCTCTCCAGAGCGACCTACCGGCGGCTTTGAGGGGTCACACAGCTGCAAGGAGCCTCTGAGCTCAGCCTGAATGAGGAACTGATGGGAGCCTTGTACTCCACCCTTCCCTCCTGGGGGTAAAGGGAATCCATTGTTGGGGGCAGAACGGGCAGTGGGGCAGGGCATACCCCCGCATGCAGCATCCCCTGCCAATCTGCTTCAGCACTGCACTTCAACACACGCCCTGTAGGGGGCAGAGGAGAGCGCACACCATCCCTGGCCTGTCTGCTGAGGCTGCTAATGAGGGGGTTGGCTAGGGCCAGTGGAGAGGGTGGCTTTCTTATACACAGGCCCCATGTGCCACTGAGGGGTCTTAACTGTCAGTGCAGCCCCTGAACCAGCCAGCAGGGGTTATCTTGCTGAGTGAGGGGTTCCTGCCAGGGTGTGAGCATGGCATGATCACTTGTATTACAGTAACACCTAGAGGGCCACCTGTGCAATGCCCGTTGTGCCGGGCGCTGCACAGACACACAGCGAGAGACAGTCCCTGCCCCTGCTGAGATCAGGGGCCCGTTGTGCCGGGCGCTGCACGTACACACAGGGAGAGACAGTCCCTGCCCCAGCTGAGATCAGGGCCCCGTTGTGCCGGCGCTGCATAGACACACAGGGAGAGACAGTCCCTGCCCCTGCTGAGATCAGGGCCTGTTGTGCCGGATGCTGCGCAGAGGCACAGGGAGGGACAGGCCCTGCATTGAAGAGCTCACACTGTACCTAGACAAAGGGAGGATTATTCTCCTCATGTTCCAGGGAACTGATGCCCAGAGATTCATGTCTTGCTCAACGGCACAATGAGTCAGTGGCTGAGCCAGGACTTGAACCCAGCTCTCCTGGCTCCCAGCCCTCCTGGCTCCCAGCCTGGTGCCTTCCCATGGCCCCTCTTCCCTTACTGAGCCTTCGCTCTCCCCCCCCTCCTCCTCCTGCAGCTGCCGAATTTCTTGCTGAAGATACCTGACTATGGGATCTACTCCCAGGACGTGGAGTTTGTCAACGAGATCCTGCACCTGAGGACTCGGTCAGTGCCAAGCCAGGGGTGGGGGCAGGGGCAGTGGATCAAGCCACTTGTCTTTTGGGGGGGTGGCAGGTGGGATCAGGCCACTCTTCCCATGGGGGGGTGTGAAGCTTAGGGGCTGTGCCACTACTCTTGCCCTGGGGGAGTGGTGGGACCGGCCCACTTTCCCTTGGGAGGGAGGATTGACTCAATTCCTCCCATTGGCGAGGGTTGTTGGGGTGGGGGGAGATGACCATGCCCCCCTCAGAAGGGATGGGCCTATCCCACTCTCATCCTGGGAGCAGGTGGGACAGGCCCATTCTTCCTCCAAGGGCTGGGAGGGTTTGGACCGGCCCATTCTTCACCTGGCCTGGGGGTGGGTGCCACCTTGGGATCCCCTCAATCTGGAGGCCCCAGCCTTAGCCTGAGGGCTGTCCCCTCCTTCCCCCCCACCAGGGGCCGAGTCATGTACCAGCTGGCGCTGACCCTGTGCCGCCTCGTGGCCTGGAACTACTTCGCCAACATGCGGCTAGAGGTGCTGAAGCTGACTCAGCACCCTGAGAACTGTAGCATCCAGGCCCGCTGGCGCATCATAGGGATCCCCTTCCACGTCCTCTTGCTGCGCTTCTACAAGAGGGAAAAGAAAGAGCTGTACAGGTGAGAGCCCGGCCTGGCACCCCGCACCCACCCTCCCTCACCATGTTGTACAGATGTTCGCTGCTCCTGTCTCTTTGTTCTGATGAGCTGTGCAGCCACTCCTGGGAGTTGCCCTTTTTCCTTCCCTGCTGGGCTTTCCAGGGCCGTGACCTCCCTGAGCCAGGGCTAGGGACTGTTTAACTTCAGCACAAAGCAATGCCCCTGCTGCCCTCAGAGATGGGGGAACTTCCTAGCCCCTAGGACTGCTCCTCCCCCAATGGGGTCTTCCCCAGCTGCTCCCAGTGTGTGTGGGGGGGTGTTTTCTCTGCCTCCCAGAGCCACTACCTCCGAACTGCTTGAAGCCCTAAGATTTGGTATTCCCCTGGAGTAAGTCCCAGCATCCTTCCCCCCCTTGGCCCTTAGAGCAGAGGTTCTCAAACTGGGGGGCGGGCCCTTCTGGGAGGAGGGGAAGAGCTACAGGGGGGAAAAAAGCCTTACTGCACATATTTTACCCACAGCAGTGAATAACTAGCAAAGCCCCTTCAGTGGTTCTCAAGTTGTGGCCCACAAAGCCGTGGCCCACGTGACATGCTCAGGGCCAGATGGGTAGTATTGGATGCAGCCCATAGTGGTGAATAGGTTGAGAACCACTGCTCCAGACATATCAGGCCCTCAGCTGGCACTGTGCATTCTGCCAGATTTCTGTTCATACAAAGTCACTGCCATCCGTACGTTAACTTGTTTGCTACAAGGCGGCGTGCACGTTTAATTGTCGGCACAGGCCACAATTGCAGGTTTGCGCTTGCTCTTATTGCAACGGAATGTTGTGCCACGGATACGAAACCCTCAAGTGACAAAGAAGCTGAAACTGATTCAAGTGAAGTGTCGCTGCATGTATCCGTATATGTATT